GTGACTTCTTCCCAGACAATACATTTAATTGTTACTATTTTCTGCTGATTCTGTTGGAAATCCTCATACCATAATCTCATAAATTTGACTCTAGGGCCCTCCTCTTATACTTTGCTTTTTCCTTCTCATTATTCAAAGCAGAGTCTTTAGCAAAAGCTTCTTTTTTATTCTTTATCTGCTTTTCAGCATGTTTCCTTTGTTGTTGTAACTGACATTAAGATTATAGAAAATATCCTCATATTCTTCTTTAATCAGGACTCTGCCAAGTCTCTCTTTAAATAGGATTTTTTCCTTTCTTTCTAGTTGAATTGGAAATAAAACTTACTTCTTTAGCCCACGTTTATTCCTTTTATTCTTAGGCTCTTCCAACAGCAAGGATTCCCCGTGGGAGTCCTTATTTCCTACTGCCTATTCACATGTTGTGTCAGAGTTACAAATATCAAGTCTTACTCATGTTCAGTCTTTTATTGTAAAATAACAGCTTTTTTTTTTTTTTTTAACATCTTTTCAGTTCTCTGTTTGCATGATATTGCAGGAAGCCTCAACAGAGCGTGCAGCTATAGTTTTCCAAACTTTCCCTCCCATAAAATTGTGGAACCATCATCAGGTTGAAGATTGCCTGCTGAAATTTGTGCTACTCTCTGGTCCTCCTTATCGTCACCTGAATTTTGTAAATTTTGAGAGGCGTGCAATGTTAAGACAATGATGGAAATCAGTGCTGCAGACATAGATATGCTGCATCAAGTATTAACTATGCCTTAGTAATTATATTTGAATTTTTCATAAACGTTAAGATAGCACAGGCTGTTTGTAGTGCTGTATGTTTAAAATTCTTGTATTAAGCAAGTTATCTTAGCTATTCTTACCTTATAACAGCAAGGTAGGAGTAAATCCTCTTCTAGCTATTCAAATTGTCATCCTATTCTGAAGTACAGTTTAATGGAGCAATATGTTTAAGTAAAGGATAAATAAGACAACACATACATGCTTGAATTCAGGTATATGATTGGGTGTATTGAGCTATATGATAAGCACAAATACCATTCAAATACCTTACAAATTCATACCAAAGTCACTCACAGTGACACTTCACATGAACTTCATAAACACTTCAAGCTGTGATAAAGTTCTGCATTTATGACAAAGGAAAGTGGAAGATTACAAAAGGAGGAAAACACAATCTTTTCCCAGGCAGCACAGTGTGACAAGAAAGTGATATTCGAAGGATGGAGGAATCAAAATGGAACCTATTCTGTTGTAAAGAGAGGCAAAACAGACTGAGCACAAAGATAGAGTGTTTTTCCCTCCAAAAATCACTCTGTGATAAGGGTTTTTTTCAGTTAGATAGAAACAAAGATCAAGACTTCCAGTATTTTTATTTTTTCAAAATATATTTTTTATGAACAGATTTATTTTTTATATTTTACTTCTCCCTCAGCTTGGGAAAAAAGTCCACTTTAAAATGTTCTAATTCTTCTTTTAGTAATTTAAACAACCTAGTGAGTGCCTTTATTCTTTCCTAATGTGATGTGCCTTCGTTAGTGGTTAAAGACAGAAAAGAGTTCTGTTTGTTTAATTTCCTATTTGATTTTCCAGGTTAACCTTTTGTTTAGAGTGTAATAAACATTTTAACTGAGCTGAATAATTCCATGGTATTTAAGAAATCATTTCAGATTTCTGGAATGCCCTTCAGTTCCCAGAAATCCATTCTTTATATGCTGTTAAAGATATCCTGGCAAAAAAAACATAGGGAATGCTTGCTTTAAAGGACACGTGTTGTGCATTTTAATACTCTTGATTGTTTTATACCAGCTCAACCTGGTGAAAAGATTTTACCATTCAGACTTTGTCCCTTTCCTTCCCAATAATTTTCCATTATGTTTTTAGCTTTTACAGGTTAAACCTTGATGAATTTCCTGTGTACAGGGTATCTGATTTAATATTATTATTATTATTAATCCTCATTGAGCTCACTTAAAAGAGAAGCAGCAAAGCATTTCAGCTCATACACTGAATGGACACTTCTTGTCGTTTAAGTATTTTCTGCCAAATAGAGGTAAATGACATCTAGTAGATCTTGTGATAGCTCCATCTCCTTTCTGGCTACATACAGTTCACTGAAAGGATTCTGACATCTTTCTTGTTACCCAGACTCAGCTGCATTAGTTATTCCAAATCATCATTGCTATACATGCAGAGACTTTAATTCTCCCTTTTCTCCCTGAACCAGTACTCCCAAGTTCCACAAAAATCGTGGAATTCCTTATATTTCATGAATGTCCCTGTTCTCATTTCCTAGAACATCTTTGTTATTGCTTTCCTAGGAGCTGATTTCGGTCGTCAATTGAAAATGAAGTTGTTATAAAATGATTGTGTTGACAGATGGCATAAATGGCATAGCTAATCAAATCTGCTTTAATGGCAACAGGGAATTATCACCATACTACTAAATGAAGGTCTTAAAAATGCAGTCCGTAAAGCGGGTGGTGCACTGAAATGACAGTTCGCAGAATTCTAACTCGACGATGCAGCAATAATAGTAGCTGCTACAGCTGACATCTCATTGACATATACCTCAAAGGAGGTTCACAAACAGGTTTTCTTGGAGCCTATCTAGTTCCTGATAAACCTGCTTTCTGATAATACTCTTTGGAGTCACTGTTGCATCAGTAGAAAATGTTAAATAAACAGTGTCCAAGGTTTAATGTATTTTTCTTTAAGGTAGGGTCATCTGAATAGTGTCTCACATGTTTGAAAGAGCCATTCCAAGTCCTAGCATGTTGCATTCAACTTTTGGTGGTTTGTTAACTCCTGGGGAAAAATAAACTCCAGCAATATTACTCACCGCTGTATTTCAGCAGTTTGTCAGAAAAGACTTAAGAACTGTAAATGCATGCACCTGGGATAAGCTTTTATTCATTTAATCTTTGGAGCCTTAAGTTTGACACCATTTAGATACAAAATAAAATCTAACATAAAAGGTCATTAATCCCTACTAGATCTAAGTACAGTTGGGTTTGAATTAGAATGGATATGTAACTGCAGCAGTTGCTTCTATTGTAGGAATTTATGGAGTGGCTTGATGTCATGTCTAAATATTGGGCTTGCTTTTCAGATGTATAGAATGTCTTCAATCCCATTAGATTTTAGGCAGAGCAGTATGACTAAAATGTAGTGTGTTTGTGAATATTTAGTACATCTGAAAATTAGCCCAGTTCTCCTTCAAGATGAACACAGAATTTGCTAATGAAGCTCTTCAAACTTTAGAGGAAAGTAGAAGAGACTGAGACTTAAAAAAAAATATGTTCTGTTCATACTTGGAATGTCATGTCATCATTTGTTTCTGTTTGGTAAGATCTTCCTTGTTCTCTCAAATATTTGTGGAGACAGAACACCACAAAGATGGGGAGGCAGCACTGAGCTCCCAGCAGAGCACTGATTCACTCACCTTTCAGCAAGAAAAAACTCTTTATGGTGACCTTTATTCCCATGCATTGGGAAGGAGGTCTCTGTATTTCTCTGGAATACTTTTCTGGTTTGGGCATCTTTTTTCTTCACTGCAATAGGTTTTTGGAAATGTCCGTTCCTATAGAGTGAGTGATAATTGACACCTGTTAGGATTGGGGTATTTTTTTTAGTAATGTTGCAAGTGCTGGAATGTGGATCAGTGCAAGTACAGCAAAAGAATCAACAATTTCTCAAAATCTTTTGTCAGAGACATTGTAGATTCTGCCCAGAATAATTATATGGAGAAGTTTATTATCCCAAGTGTGTTGTTAACATTGTTCACATCCTTTTGTAACATCCTCTTCTACTATGAACATCATTCCACTCTTCCGTTCTTCCAAATGCACCTGTTTACCTCGGTTAAAGTAGGATAGTGCTTGACGTGTCTTGGCACCTTTCGATTCATTAATCAAGAAGAAAAAATTATCCCATAAGTACAACTAACCGTAACAGTGGCCTTATTTGCTTGTCTAGTCTATTAAAATACCATGAGAAAGTTATTTGCCATACAGTCAGGTAAGTTATGACCATGGGTGCCAAATGACAGCATCCTGTCTCATAACAAAATACTACAGGAAATGAATGCAGAAAACAAAACAAAACAAATTTTAAAACCCTAACTGGGGAGAATTTCTTTCAAAGTCAGACATCATGGTTCAGTTATTTGTTTGCCGTTTTAATAATGCTTTCTGTTTGTAATGCTGCCTGTTGTCTAGGAAACCCTAAGTTACTGTGTAAATACTGATAGCACTCTTGTGAGATGGAGATTGTCAGGGGAATCATTATATTAAAGTGTTACAAGTTGCTTTAAAATTTCTTTGCTACATATTGCAAACGAGAAAGGATATTACAAACAGGTTATTAACCTTACCTAATTTGATAAGAAATATGCATGCAACTTAAGTTTTCTGGAGCTCGTGAGGAGGTAGAAGCAGCTGTATAGTAATTCTAATTGTCATGAAGACTGTTCAGAGGAACTGTTATCTAAATCTGTGAACACTGATTGCATCATTATATGTGTATCTTGATGTCTCAGATCACCTTGCCTGATAAAAGCAGTGATTGGTTCACTGCATCCTTTGTGGGATTAAATTTTCCTGGCTAAGAAGTCTGGACAGAAATAATTAAACCAATTTACATCCATATGGCTGACATCAAACTTAAAAATGCTATGCCTCAGTGCAGTCTTAAAAATAATTATCCAGTGGAAGGGAGAAATTCCTATTTTAAAATGATAAATTGAAAAATAAAATAAAATAAAAACTCATTCATTGAAACACCTTTCACTGACGTGGATTAAATGATGGACTCATATTACAAGCAACAGCCTCTTGAATAAAAGTAATGCTACATAAATCATATGGATTTTAAAATAAATCACATAATTTACCTATTCTCTCTGTCATTCTCTTCTCTTCCTCTCCCATCCTTTCTTCTTCTTGTTCTCCTACTATTTCCATCTGGACAACTTCTATCTGTTTCATCATTTAAAGATGTTCCAGTGGATTTGACCGTCACCGGCAAGATTGGGTAGACAGTGGTTGCCCTGAAGAGGTATGTGAGTAGTTTACATCCTCAGCCCATCAGAGGCCATTTATATATTTTATGATGCTTTTGATTAAATTCTTCAGATTATGAAGCATGATTTCAAGGCCAAAGACATGCTGTATTTATCTTTATTATTCAGGGGAAGTGCTGTAAGGTATCATAAAGAAAAATAGACTGAGCAATTTCACTCCCCATTTGAGGGAATAAAATGGACACAAAGTAAAAATTTTATCTCTGAGAAAATGCTTTAAATAAAACATAAAAATACCAGAAAGCCTGCCCCAAAACAGTGTCCCTGCACTGTTTTTCTCTTAGATCTCTGACTGTTGCCAGAAAAGGGGAAGAAACTGTGATGTTCCTCATCTCAGAAAACCCTCTGCCAGAGTAGTCTCAAGTGAAAAACAGGCATTGATTATGAACTCTGACCAAATCATTTAGTACAGAAGAAATTACATAGATGAATTCAAAGAGATTTTTTTTTAAAAAAAAATTGGATTTGCTTTCATGGAGAGGCAATGAGAAAAAGAGAAAGATACCTGACTGTGACAGTGGTGGACTATCAAACAGGGACTGTGGACCTCCAGTAAAAGAGTTGTTCAGCGTACTCTTGGACTAGAACAGTTCATTTTCAAGACATATATGAGTATCTTACTGCTCGTTCTTTCCCAGTGTCCTCCCTTTAGATGGTTTTTTGGTTTGGGGGTTGTATTTATTTTTTTTTCCATTTGGGGCTTGGAGTAATAGGAACAAACTAATTTATGACACTTTTAATCTCCTGATGACCATAAAAAAGCAGTTATTTTTCCACTTTTGCTGAAAGGGCTAAATTCTGTCATGAGTTTCAGCAACATAGCCCTCCTGAAGTGTAATGTCAGGTGAAACTGAGGGCAAAACGTAGCCCCAAGTGTCTAGTTAGAAAAGCACATTCTGTTTTATTCTCAGTAGAAGCAAAGAGAAGAAATGATATAAATTCAATCTGATGGAAAAAATTTTTTTTCTTGTAACTGTAATTGTAAAATAGCTGCATCCTACATACTGCCTTGTTAAATGGCCTTGAAGCTCCAGCGTTGCAGTTTGTAATCTGCTGATTTAAGAACAGAATTTCTGTGAGATTTATTGTCTGTGGAGGACAACCTCTTCAAGAACATGAAATAAAAGTTTCTGGGAGTATGTGTTATTATAGTACACAACCTTTGTATCGCTCTAATCCAGATTATAAGTAGGTAGGACTCAGTTGTGCCTGTAGGTGAAGTTACCCAAAAACTGCTCTCCGCAGGGACAGTAGCACCCCATTCTGCTTATCCTTTCTTGTTTCAACACAACTAGTGCTCCAAGCCTTAACAGGTGATCAGAGAGGAAATTATTGATACACTAAGTGTATCTGAGAAACTAACAGTTTGATTTGCACAGTTTCAGGCTACTTGATTGCTGCTCACAGTCCAGCTTTCAGGCTATTTTACGGTGAAGGAACAGCTTAGCATCTACTAGAATGATGCCCGAGCTGACTACTGGTGTTCAATGAAGGATCAATAATTAGCACACAGGGGTTAATTTTAGATGCATTTATTCAAGAGGATGAATAATGAGGATTCTTACAGTAATGTTTCCTTCCTTGTAATATAGATTTTGAGGTAAATTTATATTAAATTGCATCAGTGAAATTAACAGTGGTTTTCAAGCTAAAACATGAAGAAATTTAAAGAATACTACAGGTACCCATACCTTTTTTTAATGTAATATATTGTTTCTGATAAAACAAAGGACAATAAATTACCCATACATACTAAAAGAAAGACAACACCCACTGGGTTTTGACAGCCAGATCTCAATAACATGAACAGGCTTTGCAGGATTCCACTTCTCATTAAAATGAATGGGTACAGCAGGAGTTAAAGGCAGTTCCTGTATTTACTGCTAATTAATTGGATGTATTTTCCTGCAAAACTGTGTGATCTGTAAAAGAAAATATTCATTATACCTGCAGAATTTTAAAAGTGTCCAGAAATAAAAAAAAACCTTGAGATTTGTATTGAAATATTTACCCATTAAAATAAAAGTTAAATTATTATATGATGGTGAATATTATTTGTGATATGCTAATATAATATAATAATTTGTATATTTTT